CTTTCTCTCTCTCTCTCTCTCTCTCTCTCTCTCTCTCTCTCTCTCTCTCTCTCTCTCTCTCTCTCTCTCTCTCTCTCTCTCTCTCTCTCTCTCTCTCTTTATATATATATATATATATATATATATATATATATATATATATATATATATATATATATATATATATATATATATATATATATAGCATACGGAGTCTAAATCGAGAAGTAATTTTGTCTAACGAGCATATTGTCTAACGGATTTTCGTAAAATATAAAAGAGCTTGGTAGGACTATTTTTGGTGCAGCATTTAAAAAAATACTTTTCTGTTTCACTAATTAAAATAAATTGCTTTTTTAAAGTATCTAAAAATACATGAACTCTAAAAAATATGTTTCCATTTCTTCCATTTCTGTTTTAATTAAGAAAATTAAGTGTTTTTAATTAAGCTATTTTTACGTGTTATATAAGGCGCATGCATAGCCTCTGGTTGTGAGCGACCTCATGTGCAGTGCTGTAAGTTGTAATTATACATGTGAGACTCATTTAAAATAATCATTAGAAGAAAATTCAAAAGAAATCAATGTTTATTGAGGTGTTGTAACCACTTACACAGAATCTTCCCATAATTTGCATAAAGTTAACCTTTTCCTTCATTTTCTCTGTTAAAATCACTTCTTTTCTAGTAATTTCTTAAAACACAACTGTCATGAAACCCGTGGGTGTCACCAGCAATATACATGCATGCAGCATTCGCGTTCATGTTGTGTCATGCAGATATTATTATACAAGCTCTTGCTTTCCGCTCGAATTTGTATATCCCATCAACAAGGCGCTATATATATATACTATATACATTAATACATTATGAAAACAAGCACACTTGCGACGCTGTTTCTATATTAAATTCCTTAATAAATATATGATAACCCGCGTTAACGTGTATATACTTGATCATATTTGATGAGATCTTTCGATGAGAAACGATGTATGCTATCAAGGTGTCGTTCAGAATTTTAACTGTTTACGTCGCAATTGCAACTCAATGTAAATCAGAGTCAACTACAGAAAGGAAGAATTACTTCAGGAAAATAAAAGATCGTGGTAAGAATTTATGCTATTTACATGCAGGCAAGGAGTTCTATAGATAGAGAAATATTTCTCGACGTCTCCAAAACAACTCGAGTGACTAAAACATTGGCACAGACCTTCCTTGGCGCCAATAGTCATGTGTCATTGTAATAATTACATGCAGGAGTCATGTGCCCAAATCTATATAGCTATAATTGTTCGAATGGTTGCTTTGGGAAAGATTTTCGCATTTTTCTTGAAATATATATTTGACAATTTAATGAAAGGTACCGTAACTTGCAAAATGAGCTTCGCAACTTTTCTCATAATGACGTGAAATGCCGATGAATATGCATGTTCTTTAATTTGGTACTCGATATGCCCGTAAAGGCGATGGGACAGGACAACTTTAAAACAATTCGCAATGCAAATCGTTGCCAAGTAAATAAAATTTCATGTAGCACATTTCGATATTACAAACAATCGCTAAATATTGTCCCTTGCATGTAACATTACATTAACTATTTGTCTAGCATAAAAGATTTAAATCATTCTACGCCCAACCTGCATGAATCAATATGCTTCAACATCAACCAACATTACGAGCGACACTAGCTGTACGTTGGTATTGCAAAGTATATAGGTTATGGAAGAGTTGAGAAAATCCGCAATGTGAACAAAAGGCGTGAGTGCATTTACCTATCTCGTAATTTAAATGTTTATATTACTTAATATAGCCTAAGTCGTGCATGCAATCCTGTTTATATTACTTAATATAAGTTGTGCATGCAATCCATTTTCTTATATATATATATATATATATATATATATATATATATATATATATATATATATATATATATATATATATATATATATATATATATATATATATATATATATATATATATATATATATATATATATATATTAAAAACTAGAATATATATATTCCTTAGAAATCGTCGTCTACTAGCCAACACGATTTCGCATTTCTTGCGCACAGGTTGTTCTATTAGCACTCAAGATTGTTCTCACAGCTTTATTTTGGATTTTGTGAACTCGATTAGAAAGAACAGACATTTGTTTACAAATTCTCAGAAGAACAGCTGTATATATATAAGGAAAGCGCAAAGATGCCCCTCGGGAAAGCGTCAAAGGAATTGATAAATTTCGGCTACCCATGCAGGTAGTACAGATTCTTGCTGCCAAATGATGATCTGTACATGTACATGCACAATGGGCAAATTGCGGAATTGGTGAGCATCATGGTAATTTAGTTACACAGCAGAATTTTTCAACATGGCGCGTATGCTTTTCGAACGAGGGAAGGTACTAAACACAAGAGAATTGGAAGGAAACTTTTATCATTTTCCCTTTGATAAAAGTTTTTACTAAATCTGTACGGCTTGACAGTTTCATATGTCTTGCCGACTCTACGAGCGAGTGAAGCGAGTGTGGTTAAAATATTTAACATGGCGTACAAGTCGCTGAAGCAGGGACGGAGCTAGTAGTTGCGAACAATTTTTTGAATATTTCACAACATAAAGGTGAGTACTGCATTAAATTATTTTCGAGGTATGGAACACGTTGTAACTTATTGTTTTCCTAAAAATTTTAACGATCGGTTTAATTCTAGCGACTTGAGAGACAAAAATGTTTGCACACTTGGCGGTCCCAAACCAACAGATGTTTGATCAAACTTTCGTTTTACAAACCAAAACATTGAGATTTGAGGTTGCATGTTTGCCGCATAAAATAAAAACAGTTGCGGTTTGAAATACTGATCTTTCACGTTTCAAAGGTTTTCAAAGATTTAAAAAGTACTTTTAAGTACTATTCACTGCTGTTCAAGTGTCTTTAAGATATTGGAGTTTTTAACTACAACATATTTACGCGAGTCAAATTTAAAGCAACCTCGCTTGTTTCTAGTATATTTTGGAAAGTTTCGAGCCGTTTGGTTTGCCGCTTGTTTGGATAAATATGGCAAGTGACACGGAAAAAGTGCCTAAAGATAAAATGTACAGGGGAACGACCTATTGTAAGCGACAGTGTTAAAAATCCGGAATTATCCTTCCATAAATTTCCTGTGGATTCGAGCTTAAAAGTTAATATAGGCTACGACTGAATTTATTGAGAATACAAAGTGAAACTTTTATAAAAAGCCAGAAAGTGTGGATGCATGAACATGAAGCTTTACAAAGAAAATATTATAAATTATCATCTAAATACGAACAGTGTGTACTGCGAATAGAACAGTCATATATTTGCCAGTGACACAATTTTAAATTCTATACAGGTCTGTACAAGTTTTAAGAATTATGCAACATTTAAAGTTCTCTTTGACTTTCTGCAACCAGCATGTAATTTCTTAATTTAACTTATGCCGGTTCGAGTAACAATGTAGAATACTCGGCAGAATAAAAAAAGTTGGGGCGAAAAAGGTCGTCGTATCTTGGTTAGAGTTTCTCTATCATGAGTTAGGAGCCCTATCCTTCCGGGCATCATGCATGTGATTATATACAACAAACTGCGCCGCTGTTGCCACAGCCTTTAAAAAAAAACCTACTCAAATACCCGTGTAATTATTGATTCCACAGAACAACAAATTGAAATGCCATGTCCATCATTTTGAAGTCAGTCTGCATTTTTGAAAATGGGCAATTCACCTCACCTATCCCAAATGATGTTGGCTCTGCATAAAATTTTATATAACAAGCAGTCTGGATTGCACCAAGCCATGGAGCTTCTTTGTTAGCAAATGAGTCCCTTCACTGAACACATGCATGCAGTCATTACACATGCAGTCGTTATCAGTTCATCAAAATTTTTTTGCTCCTAATGTTTTTCAATGGCAGTCTGCTCATTACTGTTGCACCACTTGACACGCTTCTGGGGACGTTAACATTACTTGCTGGCAAAAGGATTTTGCTAAGAAGTGATGTGAGGAAAACATTTTCCCTTCATTTCATTGCTGTACCGAAATGTGAGGCAGTTAGACGACCTCGTCATTCAGGAAACCAAAGTTTGCTCTGTGACTGACCTCTTGTATTGCATTCAATGTCAACCATTTGTTCTTTGGCAGTAAAAAGAGTGTTTTGAGTATATGGTGAATACTCCGGAGAAGGCAAATGTTTGCACACTGCTGCAAAGTCATGAACAGTAATTTGTTCCATGCAGTATAGATGTTCGAAATTCGATATTGTACATTTGATTTGCAAACAGGTTTGCATCATTGAATGCCGTTTTTGAAGGTAATTAATCAACAAATTCTTGATATTGGAAAGGTTCACAATATGTGGATACTAAGGCCCTGCAAATAATCTAAAACGCTTTAGTTTCCCTTCTTCATACATTTTCCATCTACCGTGCACACAAATTTCTGCGAAAGGATAAGTGTTTCCTGAAAATTCCCTTACACGACGAAGTGAATTGTTGGGATATTGAAGGGCGAATATCTTCGTCCGGTTTTCGATTGAAAGAGGCAAACTAAAGCCTTTTAGATAGAATTTACATTAGAATAGAATGGCCGTTTCAGATTTTCCATCTACCGTGCACACAAATTTATGCGAAAGGTTAAGTGTTTCCTGAAAATTCCCTTAGACGACGAAGTGAATTGTTGGGATATTGAAGGGCGAATATCTTCGTCCGGTTTTCGATTGAGAAAGGCAAACTAAAGCATTTTAGATAGAATTTATATTAGAATAGAATGGCCGTTTCAGATTTTCCATCTACCGTGCACACAAATCCGTGCTCACTACACGGAAGGAAATTTGCGTGCCAGAGACTAAGTGTCGATTAGTGCATACAAATTACTAAGAAAAATATCAGCACGCGAAATGTTGATATTTTGTGTTTCCGGCCCGTTAATTGTTCTTGATGTGATATCAAAAGCTTAAATACATTGTTAGAGTGAGATTATTGAAGGTTTGAAAGCATGAAAAGTGTATTTATTTTGATTTTTGCTATTGTAAGCTGGCTTCATTGTCAGCCATTTGTAAGCTGTGCTATTGTCAGCTAACTTCACGAGGGTCAAATAATCACAAGTGCCAACAGTTTTCAAACCGGTCTTCAAGTTTTCTTAAGTCTTAGCAAAAGCAGGTGCTAGTCTGCTGCGCAATGTTTTTTCTGTCTTGTAGTGGCGGCGCCGGGGGGGACAAGGCCCCCCCCAATTTTGCCCCCCCCCCCGTCAAATAAATTTATTAGTCACTGAGAGCGACTAAAGGCTACACAAGCGTTTTGTCGTTATCGGAAAATGTATGGCTTATAAGTTGTCATTACTCATTAGTGAATGCGCGTATACATGAAACTGTTTTTTACAGTTTCAATATTAGTTTGTAAATCTCTGAATGGTAAAACTTGCCAATACTCCAATAATACGTTTCAAAAAAGACAAAAAAGCTTTAGTTTTGCAAAGTTAAATTCTCAAACGTGTAAAGGCCCACACAGACCGGACGCGATTCGGCAACGCGACGCGAATTTTCAGTTTTCAAAAACAAATAAAACCGTCAACGGATAAAAATTTTACAAGGTATGCAGACCAAATAGCTAAAATTGCTAAGTGGTCCCGAATATTTGAAAAACAATGAATGAGTGAAAACTGAAAATTCGCGTCGCGTTGCCAAATAGCGTCCGGTCTGTATGGGCCTTAAGGCACCAATAAGATGAAAGTACTACGAAATTATTTGAATAAACCACATCGCATATATGGGGGGCGAATATCCTAAAGGGGGGGACGATATTCCTGGGGCATTCGCCCCTCTGGGGGGGGGGCGATATTCCTAGGATATTCGTCCCCCAGGGGCGGTATTCCTAGGAATATCCTGGGGGGGCGGACAAAAGTCCTGTGACAACGGCATGGGCAAATAGCAGTACCTTTTTAAAAATTCTATCTTGCCCCCCCCCCAAAAAAAAAATATGAGTTTGCCCTCAAATGCCTCCCCAAATGCTGAGGCCTGGCGCCGCCACTGATCATGTAATGCTTTATATGTTGTTTTTAAAAGATGCCATTCCCTGTGTTCTTGAACTGGAAGCCAGCCTATCTTGACAGCATCTGCTGTAGTTGCATAGCGTCCTATGACAAAACTTGTTGCAGCATTTTGAATACGTTGAAGACGCTTTACTAAGTATAATGGAAGTGGGTCAAACACAATATCATTGTAGTCCATTTTTGATAGCACCAAGGCCTCAGCAAGATGCTTACGAAGTTTAAAATCTGCGAAATGTTTAATTTTTCATTTTTACATGCTCATTCCATTTTAAGTGTTCATGAAAATGTACTCCGAGCAGTTTTTTCGAATCAATTAACTCTTTTCAACGTATTACCAGATATATTTAAGCTCAAATCCAATTCCCCAAGAGACTGAAGAGAGTGAACACTGGCCATTTGGGAAGTTGAGAACAACATTGCCTCCGTTTTCTTTGGATTAAGAGCGAGATTTGATTGTGATGACCAAGCATTTAAATTCGCCAGATTGGCTGATATTGAGTACAAACAGTCTGGAAGATTTTTCACATGACAATGTGAGTACAGGCTTGTGTCATCAGCATACTGTATACGAGACATAATGGATTTTTTAAGATCAGAGACATATATATTGAATATTATCGGTTCTAGTATGGAGCCTTGTGGAACACCGAAATGGGTAACGGCAGGTTTTGACTGATGGTCATCAATCTGGACAAATTGTCTACGATTGGATAAATAGTTAGCCGTCCATTTCATAAAGTTATTGGAGAACCCAAGATGATGCATTTTACGAAGCACGGTTTTAAAATTTACAGTGTCAAATGCTTTTGAATAATCTGCCATTACCATAAGTGTCAATTCTCCTTCCTTCATAGCGCGGATGATGTCATCACGAATTTTGAGAAGGGCTGTCGTAGTAGAATGTCCTTTGCGGTATCCAACGATTCTTTCGTCCAGGATTTTATTCGTTTCAAGAAAGTGGACCATTTGTATGGTCACGATTTTTTCATAAATCTTCGACAGGACAGGTAGAATTGCTATAGGTCGTAAATCCTCATCTTTCATTGGTGTTTCATTTTTCGGAATTGGAGAAATTCTGGATATTTTCCAAGCCTCCGGAAACATTGTTAAATCTATACTGCCGTTAATTATCTTTGTCAGAGGTCCTGCTAAGATGTCGGCAACCAGTTTAATATACTTGGCGGGGATTTTATCTGGTCCTGTAGAACAGTCTGACCGTAGGTTCTTTATCACATGATAAACTTCATCACGGCTGACGTTGCGAAGACGAAACCCATCTTCTTTGTTGTTAGTTGTCAGTGTGTCAATATAATTTAGTAAATCGTCGGTAGAATCAGAGGTCGAACCCATTACTCGGTGGCCAGTATTAATGAAATATTCATTAAGACTATCAGGATCGAAACGAAGAGGTTTTGGACTGGGTTTTAAAATTCTATGAATAACACGCCAGATCTCTTTTGATTTATTAGAGGATAGTGCTTTCTTAACAAAGTTTTTCGTTGCTTCACGAACCCTAATCTTAATACTGTTTCTTATGTTTCGAAAAGCAGCCCAGTCATTAGGAGTAGAATGAGGTGTATGAGCCTTTTTCCGCAAACGATCTCTCTCAGCTAAGAGAGATTGGAAATCCTCAGTTGTTAGCCATGGAGCAGGTGGCCTTGTTACCTTAACCCTTTTCATAGGAGCGTGTCTTTCCAGGCATTTATTGAATAGCTTTTCAAGAACGTCTAATTGTTCATTTGGATCGTCATAAGAATAGATCAGACTTAAAGGCAGTGTAGAAAAGTCATTTTGAAAAGCAACGGGAACAAAGGTTTTCTCATTTCTGATGTATTTGAATCGTGGTTGAAAACGTTCTGTACGGACATTTATACAAACGTAAGGTCCGTCATGATCACTAACGAGGGCGCATGGTAAAACATCAGTATGTGTGATACGATTTGGATAATTGGAGACGATATGATATGATATGATATGATAGTTAGATACTTGTTATGATAGACGATATGATATGATATGATATGATAGTTGTTAGTTAGATACAAATGCTTTTATACAATTAACCACAACTCAATCACTTTGCTCTGTTTTCAGAAGCTGTCTTTTCTGATCTGCTGTAGCTGCGGATCTGCTGTAGCTGCGGATCTGCTGTAGCTGCGGATCTGCTGTAGCTGCGTTTTCAACCATATTGTTTCAATGTGTTTTTTGTCTTCTATTTTCCTGCCATTTTCGTCTTTAAAACCGTGTGAATACAAAATAAAGACTGGGACCGATGCAGTCTTAATTCTGACAAAATGGAGAGAACAGACAAATATGCATGCGCAGCTAATACACTTGCAAAATGTGCAGATTTTCATTTTAAATACTGCTGAAAAGTAACCCTTATAATAGTAGTAAATTCAACGAATAATCGAAAATATTTCGATACCACTCTGGTATAAATTACTTTCGGTAGTAGCCTTAATAGTATCGAGCGGTATCGATTACTTAGTAATCGGTAGTTGCCCACCACTACTTTAAAGTAGGCCATAATTATAATGTCCCGCATTCCAGAAAAGATTCACACTCTGGCCCTCCATGGAGGACATTTTTGCTGTCTGATGATGGAGGAGAGAATGTACTTCTGGAAAATGAACTAGGATGTCTGAAGTGGGTGGGGGAGGGGGATTAACTTCTAATTTCCTTCATGGTAGAGGTCTGGAAATTATCTGGAAAGACCCATTGTTCAGTAATGTACGTACCGATCAAAACAAAGGTGTAACATCCCCCCGGGCACGAGAGGGGCATTTGCCATTCGTGATTTTCCCTAGGGGTGGGCATTGTTGTCAAGAAAATTTAAAGTGGTGGGGCATTTGATTCGATCCACTCATAATGAAGATGGGGATTTGACCAGAACTAAAAAACTTTTAGTTCACCCAACATGAAGACTATTATAGATTGACTTGCTACCCGTTGACACAGGAAACCACATGCTTTACAGTCGATTTCGTGAAACTTTGACCACAAATGTTCTGAACTTCGTTGCGAAGTTTGGATCCCTTGGGTATTTAAGAAGCCACGATTGCAATTTTAGATCACCCCTGATGAAGACACTAGACTGGAGTGTCGAAACGTTGGGTCTTGATTACAATTCGACTGGGCTTTGTAATAATTTATTTAAACCAGGGTAGCGAGCGAAACATTTACCTGGTTGCAGTGAACAAACAAACTTTAAAGTTCATGGGAGTTGGAATTCACAAGCCAATTCCTAAACAAAGTCCCTGATTGGTCCCTGAAGTACAAGAAGCCAATCAAATTCATAGTTTACATGCTGGTTTTTGAATCTCATTATGAACTTTTGAACTTCGCAATGAACTTCGCAACGAAGTTCGGAACATTTGTGGTCAAAGTTTCGTGAAATCGACTCAGTCAAAAGCACATTTTTGCTTTTGTGTTTTCAAGAAAATGGAAAAATTTTTATTAAACAATTTTCGAAGTCAAAATGTGAATTATGTTCAAGATTGGTTGGACCAGAATGGACTGGAGAAGTTGAAAGTTGAAAAGTTTTCCTTTTTCCCTTTGTTTCCAACAAAGATTTTACCATGTTTCCTTGTTCCCCAAGCTCGGCATGTTTCCTATGATTTTTTCGGCTATATATTCCTGTTCGGCAATATATGCCTCGTTCCCTTGTTCCTTAGAAACCTCTGGGAGACCCTGATATACAGATAGTGTGCTTTAGCGTTGCTGATATTACGTGCAACATAAAAAAGTTGCATAATGCTGTATAAAATATTTAGCGTAGTGTGCTGTATGTAAGAGTTAATTACCGAGAACCGAGGCATTTAGTCAAATACAGGCCGAGGCGCGCAGCGCCGAGGCCTGTATTTGACTAAATGCCGAGGTTCGAGGTTCGATTGAGAAGGTTTTCACAAAACAGCTCTTACGCTTGTGGGACGTAACACAAGTTTGAGTATGCGGACTATATACGCTTTAAAATGTGGTTAAGCATGCGCAGTATATCATTTCACGTCCCACAAGCAAAAGAGCAGATGTCACTGTATAAATTCCCTGCACAAGCAAGTTTGATGGTTGATCCAGCTAGTCCTCGTGCGCCGAATGATGGATACTCTTACCTAATGGTAGAGTTTTGACGGGCTCTGAGGTACACGGCTGTTGTCTCTTTCCCGACTGGAGACGGTTCAGCGTTTATCGAGTTGGGAAAGAGACTAACCTCTCATTAGGTACTTACCCAGATAAGTACATCATGAGTATAGTTTAAATGAGGTATTTATCTAGATAAATACCTCATTAAACTATTCATGAGGTATATATCTAGTTAAATACCTCATGAATAGTTTAATGAGGTATTTATCTAGATAAATACCTCATTAAACTATTCATGAGGTATTTAAGTAAGAGTTAAATACCGAGAAGGAGGGCTTTATGCTATATAACAGCCCCGAGAACGCGAAGCGTTCGAGGGCTTTATATAGCATAAAGCCCGACATTCGAGGTATTTAACTGACTTATATCATGATTGAAGAGGTTTTCTAACAAAGTTTTATTCTTTTTTTTCGATTTCGACAAGTATTTTTCTAGTTTTCTCCCTTATTTCTTGACTAATTAGGGCTTTATGGTATTCAAGGGCTTTATGCTATATACAGCCCGCGGTACATCAAAGAAAACCGAGTCAATCATGAAATAACTAGATATATACCTCCTCATGTGTGCATTGAGCAATTCAAATTCATCATCAGCCCCGCTCTTCCCTGCTGAAAATCAAATCCCTCCCCGGGCTTTCAGATGGACGAGTAATTACGCTAGATACAAGGTCTTGAATAACAAAAGAAATCGACTCAATCATGTAATAAGAAAGAATATAACGCAGTGCTACATAAAAGCTACATACAGTATAGCATATTCAAATATATAAAAATATAGTGGCGCAACACAATTCCTTGTTCAATGGAAAATAAACTGCATTATGGCACATTCCCACTTAAATGGTTAATATACTCAAAGGAGCAACCACGAATAGGTAAGGCTACCCTATGAACTAGGAAAGATAGCCCATTCAGTATGGTGACCATACTTCATTGTGCTTGGTACTGGGTTGAAAATTACTTTGTTATTGAGCCTAAGAACAGCAAGAAACAAATTCGTTCAGGAAAACATGGGAATATGATCTTTATCTGCCCCTGACATGCTGAAATAAGTTAACATGGAAACGAGGCCATTGAGTAAAGGAGAATAATCGGTAAGGTCTATTGAATGGGGTTTTATTAAGTTCCATATAACAGGATATCTATACCTTTTTACAAAATGTTGCCAACTATAAGTATAAACACATTAAAAACTATCTATCTTAGTCTTACTGTTAACGAGATTCCTTTGTTAAGAATGCTTCTATTTGTTTGTTCTTGTAGGTAATATGAGTCCTTACATTACATCCTACTTGCGATATGAAGAGTCAGAGAAGTCACTTCGGTATTCGGATACAATGTGGATATTTGCGGTTGAAGTAATGGGGCATGGCCTTCTCATGACACTTGGTGGTATGATGCAATTAAAGATAGGTCCACGTTGGACAAGCTTAATTGGAGGAACTGTGTTGAGGTAATTGCATATTACATTATACTGTATAATAACCTTAAGAATTTATGCGATCTCATTGGTCGAGAGGCCATGATCTATTAGAGGACAGACGCACGGAATACGTGATTAGTTTTTAAAATGTACAAATTGAATGAATTCATGCAATTAAATCTATAAACATCAATAAATACCTTCGATAAATGTGCAAACATCACTCACAAAAGCTAGCAACTCGGCAAATCTCCTGCAATTCATTCAGATGCGACTTCAAATCCAATCCGGTCTTTGAAAACAAATACTATTTGAGTCATTGACTCATTGGGCAATTCTAGCTATGGACTAAATTTTGATGTAGGCAAGAAGAACAAAATCCATCACCACAGCTAGAAAGAGCGTTCTAAAATTAGTAAAATTGCAAAGTTTGGTTGCGAAATGTTGTAAAATGAGGAAAATATACTGTACGCGAGCCCTGCGAAATTTACAAATTTTGTGTTAATTTGTATTGCGCGCGGGAAAATGCACCACATTTGGGCCAAAAGTGGTGCAAATTCCCGTGCGTAATACAAATTAATACAAAATTAACAAATTTCGCAGGCGGCCCGTATATTTTCCGCATTTTACAACATTTCGCAACCAAACTTTGGAATTTTACTAATTTTAACATGGTAACAACATATACTGCGGACCCCACGTTACTTGGTTGCGCAATTTTTAATTGGGCAAAGAAGAATTAACCCAACTCCTCACCTCCCAAAACTGCGGCGCGCCATGGCCCATCGGCACACATTGGGACAGTTTTTGCCAACCAGAATCGAGTAAATTGACTAAAATGCTATTATTTGAAATATAGTCGGATATTTGATAGAATTTTAAGGATAAAAAAGGCCCCAAAACAATATTAAATGAATCAAATATTACAACTTTAGCCTTATTTTGTTGCAAATAGATCGTAAAAGTAAAGCAGAACAAAAATATGCGCGCCCCTCTTGTTTTACGGCGCCCTGTTATTATTTATTATGTTTACATGCATATAATACAACTGTCGTCCACGTTTTCTAATTATTAAATATTTCGCTGCGTTCTAGTTTTGGCGTCTTGATGACATATTTCACTATACAGAAATCATTTGTGGCTGTCGTTTTTACCTACGGACTTCTTTTTGGAATGGGTATTGGGATTTCATACTCCGCACCAATTAACTGTGCTATGAAGGTACAGTATATGTATAATTGGAATGTGAGGAATCATCCATAATTATCAACATTTTTCACAAGCGTACAAACCGTGTACGCCCAGAGAGAAGGGTTTTACTGACCAATGCGCACTTTTTGAAACGTCGACGTCGATGATAGATCTAGTTCAACATTTAATTATGCTCTGAGAGGTGGGGAGGGGGAAGAGGGTGAAAAAAGTACTCTCTGTACGCTTGTGAAGATATTGAAAGTTATATAGACGAACCTTCATAGCATTTACTCTGGTCAAATTGCATACTTTTGCATGTTGCTCTTTATTGTATCAGTATATGCATGCACAAACGATTTTCTTGAATTTCCTTCTTCACCTTCCTAATTTAATGTCCAAATGAAGGGACAATAATGACTGTGACTTTCATTAATCTGACACCCCATTTTCTCATCATGATCTTACACAACAATTTTTCATTCTCTCCAAATTACTAATTCCAATCTTTTATTGTTTCTCGAAGCTCTGGATATATAATTAAAATTTTAGTAGGCCAGAGCTTAGCAATGGTCTAATGGCATCAGAAGAACTATAGTTGTTTTTTCGTAATTTAGTTATTTGTAAATATAGCGCCTTGTATTTCTGTCTCCGTTCCAGTTGATTACGTCATTTTGCTATTTCTCCTTTTTAAGATCTGCGCACGCGGTTATAAATAATTAGTTTGGAAAAGGACAGTGACCCTAAAATAGAGTCGAAATATCACTACCATCATTTGTGTGACATATTTTCTTTAATTAACTCGTATCTTGAGTTTACAAGATGGCATTGTTTTCGGAAGTATGTTTTTACTTCTTGTCTGCTGGTAATGGATTCACAAACCTTAACCTGGCCGTTTTTAGTCCTGAAATAGTGTTGTTTTGTATCCAATGAAATTGTAACATGCGGGCGCGTGGCTATAAATAAATGTTTTATGGGTGTTTTGCGTATCCTTCCCCCTGACCCTGTTTTGCCAAGATTTTAATTTTCAGAAACAAATATTTGGAAAATCGTTTCGTATAATCAGCTACCTTTCAAGCAATTTTGCTTTAAAGAAATAAGAATAATTGATTTACTATGGGCAATTGTGAAATATAGGGCAAGTTTTCTTTCAATGTTTATGAATTTGTCGCTTCAATTTTTTGCGTAAACATGCACTGCTTTCCTTTTCAATGCACCCGTAAGTTTCCTAACTGATTACTGTACCCTGTTTAGTTTAGGAAAAAACTTAAATTGTAAAGGAGAGCAAAGTAATTGACCTCAGAAGTCCTTATCATGTCACATCACTGTCAGACAATGAATATTTGACCCACATGTGTCCTACATATACCTATAATATTTTGATGGGCCGAAAATTACGTAACGTAAGCACTTCTTAGGGTTACGTAATTGCAACACCGAACTGAAATTACTCAATAATTTGTGTTATTAGAGAGGTTAAGATACCCCGATTCCGGTTTACGGGTGATATACACGTACCCGTAAATCGGGGAATAACTTGTAACTTAAGAAATCCAAGTACTCCGGCGTGAGAAAACCGATCAGAGAATGGCAACTTTCGCAGCATATGTGCATTATTTATTTGGGTAAGATGTTGAAAATTTGTACTATTTAAACGGCCCAAAAATAGTAAACAGAAAACACCCGTACCCGTTTGTTGTTTACGTGTAGACCACTGTTTACCGCGGGGAAACGGGTAGAAATTACGGGTAAAATTGCTGACATCAGCAAAAATTGGTAAACAAAATGGCGATACTCGTACCCGTAAACCGGAACCGGGGTATCTTAACCTCTCTATTAAAGCTACGTTTACACGCTGCGATTTTTCGTGTAAGATTCGTATTCTAGCGTATATAATTGAATAATAGAGACCTTTAGATTGACGTTTACGGCAAACGTCAAACCGCTAGTGAGGTTTTTGATTTTACAACTCTATTATTATAGCTTTTACACCAGTTTTGAAATATGTTAAACTTATTAAACTTGTGCTCTTTAGCAATGATTTAAGAAAGCAAATTAACCACTAGTCATGCCATTCTCCAAAGCAGTAAATTAATATTTGGCGTTTGAAGTTGACGTTTGGCGTATAAATTTCATGCTTTAACGACTACAAGCCCTCGTAGCAGTTCAAGCATGAAATTTATACGCCAAACGTCAACTTCAAACGCGAAATCTTAATTTACTGGTTTGGTGAATGGCATGACTAGTGGTTAATTTGCTTTCTTAAATCATTGCTAAAGAGCACAAATTTAATAAGTTTAACATATTTCAAAACTGGTATAAAATCTATAATAATAGAGTTGTAAAATCAAAAACCTCGCTAGCGGTTTGACGTTTGCCGTAAACCTCAATCTAAAGGTCTCTAATAACTTCTTATTAACCGAACGCGAGGTCTGTACGGAGAAATATCGGACCGAGGTCTTTTTTGTACAGGCTCGGGGCGAGGTCTCTACAAAAAGGGCAATTGATAAAACTAGAATAGTGAAGCGAATAGCGCGAATAGTCGACGAATAGTACGAATAGTCCGCGAATAGTCGACGAATAGTCCACGAATAGTCCACGAATAGGCGACGAATAGTCCACGAATAGGCGACGAATAGTACGAATAGTCGACGAATAGTGCAATAGAGACTTTGCAAGGCTTTGCACCAGTGCTGTAGAAATAAATTTACCGGGGGGGGGGGGGGGG